AAAATGTATTTCAATAATAGAGACTCTTTAAATAAATGGAATTGTTATTTTTTTTTTTAAACTGATATTACTTTTTTTTTTTTTTTTTTTTTTTTTAACTATGGAGGATATAAAATATCCAAATGTTTAACATTAACACTTTTGGCCATAAAGTTAGGTCGTCTATTATCATAACTCTGATTTCTCATTGGTTGCTTCTGTTGGAATTTCTGCCTGATCTGATTTTGGACTCGGACCACAGGATGTTTGCTCACTTCCTGTTCTGATAGCCTCATCAGGAACTTGTGTCGTTTCCTGGTAGCACAGGACGCCATTCACAAACATTTCCTGTCGGTATGGACGGCTCAGTTTTTCAGGACACACCTGCAGAAGAGACAGAAGCTGGGGTCTTATTTTCTCATGGTGCGTTGACTGAGTCCCAGACGGCTGTTAAAGCTCCACATTAGTCAGGACCAGATATTACCAGTCTTGATACGCCTGAAACCACGGTGTCACTCTGGGTGTGTGTGGTCAAACTGTGTCATATTTTATTCCTGCCTCATGGAGTGATGAGTGAGCCTGAGGTTGCCGGTGTCAGCTCAGAAGATTGTTTTGGCACCAGTACTGTGAACTGGACTCAAGCGTAGAGAGCAGAGAGCTTCAGGACTCCCAGGATCTGATTAGCAGCCTGTCTCTTGGATCTAATGGACTCTGACCTGAAGCAGAGTTAGCCTACATGTTCTCTGAGGGTGCATTCACACTAGCCCTATTTAGTCCGCTCTAATCGAACTCTAGCTCGTTTTCCTAGCAAGTCCGGCTCGTTTGGGGAGGTGTGAACGCGCCATCGAACTCTGTCACGGAACAAAAAGGCGAACTCTGGTCCGGGCTAAAACCTAGGTCTCGGTCCGGTAGAAGCGAACTCTAGCGCGGTTCGAGTACAGTGTGAATGTAAACAGACCGTGACCCGCTCCACAGGGTAAACAAACACGCATTTCTCTGAGGTCATTCTCAAAAAATTAGCATATTGTGATAAAGGTCATTATTTTCCATAATGTAATGATAAAAATGAAACTTTCATATATTTCAGATTCATTGCACACCAACTGAAATATTTCAGGTCTTTAATTGTTTTAATACTGATGATTATGGCATACAGCTCATGAAAACCCAAAATGCCTGTCCCAAAAAATTAGCATATTTCATCCCACCAATGAAAGACAAGTGTTTTTAATACAAAAAACGCCAACCTTCAAATAATCATGTTCAGTTATGCACTCAATACTTGGTCAGGAATCCTTTTGCATGAATGACTGCTTCAATGCGGCGTGGCATGGAGGCAATCAGCCTGTGGCACTGCTGAGGTGTTATGGAGGCCCAGGATGCTTCGATAGCGGTCTTAAGCTCATCCAGAGTGTTGGGTCTTGCGTCTCTCAACTTTCTCTTCACAATATCCCACAGGTTCTCTATGGGGTTCAGGTCAGGAGAGTTGGCAGGCCAATTGAGCACAGTAACACCATGGTCAGTAAAACATTTACCAGTGGTTTTGGCACTGTGAGCAGGTGCCAGGTCGTGCTGAAAAATTAAATCTTCATCTCCATAAAGCTTTTCAGCAGATGGAAGCATGAAGTGCTCCAAAATCTCCTGATAGCTAGCTGCATTGACCCTGCCCTTGATAAAACACAGTGGACCAACACCAGCAGCTGACATGGCACCCCAAACCTTCACTGACTGTGGGTGCTTCACACTGGACTTCTGGCATTTTGGCATTTCCTTCTCCCCAGTCTTCCTCCAGACTCTGGCACCTTGATTTCCGAATGACATGCAAAATTTGCTTTCATCCGTAAAAAGTACTTTGGGCCACTGAGCAACAGTCCAGTGTTGCTTTTCTGTAGCCCAGGTCAGGAGCTTCGGCCGCTTTTTCTGGTTCAAAAGTGGCTTGACCTGGGGAATGTGGCACCTGTAGCCCATTTCCTGCACACGCCTGTGCACGGTGGCTCTGGATGTTTCTACTCCAGACTCAGTCCACTGCTTCTGCAGGTCCCCCAAGGTCTGGAATCGGCCCTTCTCCACAACCCTCCTCAGGGTCCGGTCACCTCTTCTCGTTGTGCAGCGTTTTCTGCCACACTTTTCCCTTCCCACAGACTTCCCACTGAGGTGCCTTGATACAGCACTCTGGGAACAGCCTATTCATTCAGCAATTTCTTTCTGTGTCTTACCCTCTTGCTTGAGGGTGTCAATGATGGCCTTCTGGACAGCAGTCAGGTCGGCAGTCTTACCCATGATTGCGGTTTTGAGTAATGAACAAGGCTGGGAGTTTTTAAAAGCCTAAGGAATCTTTTGCAGGTGTTTAGAGTTACGTCGTTGATTCAGATGGTTAGGTTAATAGCTTGTTTAGAGAACCTTTTCATGATATGCTAATTTTTTGGGACAGGCATTTTGGGTTTTCATGAGCTGTATGCCATAATCATCAGTATTAAAACGATTAAAGACCTGAAATATTTCAGTTGGTTTGCAATGAATCTGGAATATATGAAAGTTTCATTTTTATCATTACATTATGGAAAATAATGACCTTTATCACAATATGCTAATTTTTTTAGAAGGACCTGTATATGGAGCCGTCAGCTGCCTTGTGTGAAAAACAACATTCTCCATGGTCTTCTGTCTCATCTTCTGCTCATGCTAAGTCCATTTTTGAAAAATGACAAAATATAACTCTTAAAACTGCTAAAACTTGATGCCACTTCGTTTTTATTTTTATTTACAGAAGAAGAAGAAGATGTGTCTTCAGAGGTTTTTGTGTCATTTCTTTCAGTAGTTCTTGGTGCAGCGCCCCCACAAGCGAGCGGGGAAACAGGTTGGTTCAACAGGTTGACTCGACTGCACAGTGCAGTGTGAATGCAAACTCACCAGCTCAAATGTAAACAAAAGCTCATGAATATTGGTCCCGAACCGAGTCTACCGGACTATCTGGTGTGAAAACGACCTGAGACAGCAGGGAGGTTCGGACCAACAGCGTCCAGCTGAATGTTGGAAGTGGCACACGAACTACTCCACACTGATCTGAAACCTTCAAACATCTTTTAATCTGACCTTACAGGTCTGACAAATCAGTGCACAAACATGTAACATTATCAAACTTCCTAGATGCTGTTAAACATCAGCCCAATTAAACCATCAACACATTTCATCCCATCATGTTTTTTAAATGCTTGAGTCCGTGATGTGCCCCAATTTCAGCATGAAGGATCAGTAGGATGCCTGCACACAGCCTGAGTGAAAGTAGGAGTTTAATGCATTACTGGAGAGAGATGGGTGGGGGGGTGGGGGGCAGCTGAGCCAATGTTGAAGCAGATATAAAGGGATTATTCCTCCCTGGGAGACATAATCATGTGTAACACTTGTTTCAAATCCTGCAGAAAACAAACAGGTGTTTCAGCCCTAAATCCAGCCCTCATTTGACACAGGACCGGGCTCCCAGAACCAGAACTCACACCTGCTCCGATTCCCAGTGTAACCTAAGAGTTGGACAGGAAACACCTAAACCAGGCTCTGCAGCCTGTACAGCCAAAGCAGCCATTTCTGCTGCTCCTCCCAACAAACAATTTTACCCCGAGCTGCTGCCTGAAGGTGGACACAAAAAAGACAGCACCATCCACAGAGTGGGACCAAAACCACAGTGATCCTGTCCCACCACTGGTTCTCCTACTTGACAGGGCTGGTCCCTAAAAAAAAATCAGTTTTTGTTGTAACTGGGCTGAAATGTTGAAAATCTGCACTGATCATAAACAGGAACATTTCCATTTGTTATATTTTTATTTATTTAACTTTTATTTCTGTAGGTTAGTCTCACTGAGTCACGAGGACTCATTTACAAGAGAGACCTGTTTGTCTTGTTTACATCTGTTTAAGAACAGAAGCTGTGATGGAATTCAATTCAATTCAGTTTATTTATAATGCACCAAATCACAACAAAGTTTTCTCAGGGCACTTTACAGGAACATTCACATACATAAAAGCCAATTAGTAAAGTTCTCTATCTAAGGAGGGCAGCAGACAAGTTGAATCTTGGCTTCGTTGCAGTCTCCCATCCTGAGCAAGCACAGAGGCAACAGTGAATTAGGAAGGTTTCCTTAAAAATGTTGCTTGATTTACATCCATCCACCATCCATCCATCATCCATCCATTATTTATTCCCACTTCTTCCATTCCAAGTCATGCAGGCCTAGTGCCTTTCTCCAGCAGTCACTGTGTGAGAAGCAAAAGACACCCTGGACAGGTCTCCAGTCCATCACAGGGACACACAGAGACAAACAACCATTCACTCTCTCTCTCTCTCTCTCTCTCTCTCTAGAGACAATTTAGAGTTACAATCTGTCTAACATGCATGTTTTTGGTCTGTTGGAGGAAACTGGAGTACCTGGAGAAAACCCATGCATGCACAGAGAGAACATGCACACTCCACCCAGCAAGGCCCCCCGGCCAGGATTCGATCAACCAGCAAACTTCTCACTGAGAGGCATGTCCAAACCACTGTTCCTCTACTGGACATGTCCAAACCACTGTTCCTCTACTGGACATGTCCAAACCATCTCAGTCTGGTCTCTCTTACTTTATCTCCCAGTTGTTCAACCTGTGCTGTACCTCTGATGACCTCATTCCTAATTTTATCCATCCTTGTCACTCCTAAGGAGAACCTCAACATCTTCATTTAATTCCAGTTCCACTTCAAAGAGTTCCCCGGACGGGATTTGAACCGATGACCTTCACCATGAGAGGCGTTTGATTTTTCATTTAAAGTATAACATACATAAATGCAACAGTTTCCCATCACAGCCTGCTGGTGTTTTCTACACCTAAATGTTGAAGACAACACTGGTAACAAGCTCTAGCTGTGCTGGACTGACTGGTCCGGAACTCTGAAGCCACGCACATCAGAACCAGAACCGGTCCATCATTGCAGCTTTTAAGACTCCCGCCTGAACGCTTTCATGAAACGGGGAAATAAGAGTCCCACAGACCTGAGAGCCCCCACAGGAGCCAGAGCCAAGGAAGTTTCCTGACGGTGGAGCGGAGCTTCATGGTGCTTCAGTCAGCAGAACCTCCACAGGTCCGACAGGTGAGCTCCTTCAGGCTTGCAGCAGGGACGTAAGGAACACTTCAGGTGAGGGCGGGAGGAAGTCGTGTCGACCCCCCCTCCACCAAGAATCCTCCTCACTGCAGCACGAAGAAAGTCAAAGAAACCCACTCCTCTGACGGTCCTCCTGCACTCTTCTTCTTTGCCTCCTCTTTGACAGTCTGTACTCACCGAAACAGAAGCAACTTGTCGCAGCGCGTGCCTTCACGAAGGCTGGGGACGGGCGGGGGGAGCTACAGCGAAGAAACGCCCCCGTGCCACCTTTCACTAGCTCGTCCACTTTATTGCGTCAAACTAAAATAACGTTTCCGCGTTTGGATTTCAAAATAAAACATGTATGTGGCAAATATATCAACTAAAAAAAGGAAACGTGAACGGGCAGCACGGTGGCGCAACTGGCAGAGCTGCTGCCTCTCAGCGAGCAGGTCCTTGGTTCTAATCCTGGTCCAGGGGCCTTTCTGGGTGGAGTTTGCATGTTCTCTCCGTGCATGCGTGGGTTTTCTCTGGGTACTCCGGTTTCCTCCCACAGACCAAAAACATGCATGTTAGGCTGATTGGTAACTCTAAATTGCCCCTAGGTGTGAATGAGAGAGTGAATGGTTGTTTGTCTCGTTTGTCTCTATGTGGCCCTGTGATGGACTTGCGACCCGTCCAAGGTGTACCCCGCCCCTCGCACAGTGATTGCTGGACATGGGCACCAGCGACCCCCGTGACCCAAAATGGAATAAGCGGGTAAAGATAATGGATAGATGGATGGATGGAGGAAATGTGAACTTTTGCTTTTATTTTGACAACTTATTAACTCATTTCCGGTGGTTTGGTCATGTTTGTGTTTTACTTGACACATATTCACCTGCTCTTTGTAGGTCTTCTTCACGTCGCACGTGGAAAACAACCTGAGGAGTTTGGACTAAAACTTTTCAGACATCAGCAGAAAGGAAATAAACTCAAGAGGTTTCCCGGTGGAAAGCCTTTTTTTGAAAGGGATATTTCAATGCTTTGAACCTGGGCTCTGAACAGGTAATATCTTACCTGTTGTAGATAGCTCTTTGAACTAGCTCGATTTGTAAAAAGCGTGTTTAATTCTGACAGGACTCACAAGCTAAAGGCTAGTCTGAGCAAAAAAGGTGACCTTTTTACAGTTATTGATGCACATTTGTCAAACCAGGCACCACGCCACAGATTCATACCAACATCCACTAATCAAGGTTCAACTCAACCAGTCGCAGGCCTCACAAGGTGTATCTCTTGTAGCTGTCCTTCTCTTGTTAGAAAAATGTCTCGTGGTTAACCAAGCAACAACCGGGAGCAACTGATTAACATCTTAAAAGCTCAAATAATACATCAGCTGCAACCCAATATCCCAAATGAGTTGAAAAGGAGGCACTGTGGATGCATTCCCGTCTACCTGTCAGCAGTGCTCGAGCATCTGCCTGCCGATCCTGGGGCTGGTGGGAGGCAAGGCTCGTGACAACAAGAGGACCGGGTTCATCCCCTGACTGCAGCTGGCTGTCTGCAAAGATGAGGTGCTCAACAAGCTGCTGGAGGAGTGACCATCGCTCAGGGAGGAGTTCTGCCCAACATTCAGGTGGTCCTGCTGCCCAGGAGGACCGAGAAAACTGCCAAGTCCAAGTAGACTGATCAACATCTGCAATCTAACCAACCAATCTGCTAACGCTGCTAACAAGACCGTGCCGCTAACAGAACCATGATGTTGAAAGAACCTCACTGCTAACCAAATCACACTATAGATGTATTTCTTTTTCAACTTTGGTGCCTTGTTTTTAGTATTTTAGTAGTATTTTTAATATGTTTCTTAGTATTTAGTAGGGATGGGCCGATCCAATCCAGTATCGGTATTGGCCTCCGATACCAGCATAATTTACCTATCGGATTTTTCTGATCCAACCTGCCGATATTTTCAATCCATGATGCACGTTGCCTTCAAACTATGGAATGGATTTCCTGAATGGCAGCGTGTCTCATGAACTCAGAGTAATAAGATCCGCCTCACATTCAGGAAATCCATTTCATAGTTTGCAGCCAGCTACAACGTGAGGACTGAGTTAGCAGGACTGTGGCTAACAGCTAACCAACTTTTCATCAAAACATGTCCGCTGTGTGGAAGTATTTTACACTAGAAACACCACAAAACAAGACAGCAACGTGCAATGTCTGCAGAGCCATAGCACCACATTAAACCGCGATAAAGTTAGTTGTACATTGGCCATTCGAGCTCCGTGGCTTCAGCGTGACGCTACTCTTGCTCAACCCGTAACAGGCGACTCGACCCCGGCAAGCCGCATCCAGTCTGCCCCGCTAAATCTGCCCGTCTCTGAGGAGGGACAGACTGAGTGTGGCTGCCCCAAATCAGGCTGCCTGCTTCGGATTGAACAAGAAGAAGATATCGCTGAAGCCCCGGAGCTCAAATGTTTACAGAGAAGTTGCTAAACTTCATCATAATTAATGACCAACCACTATCAGTTGTAGAAAACGAAGGATTTCGTAGCTTGATACTTGCAGCCAAGATATAGTTTACCCTTCAGGAGATATTTATCAGTACAACAGTAGACAATAATTAAAAAAAACATATGATTTGAAAATTATATATATTAAAAAAACAGCTACATTATAAAGTGATTTAAATAACTAAAAACAGGAACATGTCTGTTGGTTTATGCCATGAACTTAGCAGATGTTTCAAGCCATTTAACATTTTATTTTATTTAATTCATTTATTCATTCATTTAAAAGAAAAAACTAATTCATCAGAAAGAAAACGTTGAATGAAAAGAGTGCAGAAAGAAGAAAAATCTTATATCTGCCCCTTATTTAAAAAAATATAAAATAACTTTAAACAATCACTTAAATTAATCACTTTAATATCCACTTTAAAGCTAGGAATAAAAAAAAACATGTTTTGTGTTAGCAGAATTTAATTCTAACTTTGAAACTTATCCAACATTAATAAAACTTACCTCAAGTTGCCTTTTTGGACATGCATGCATATATTTGTACAAATTGTACTTGAGAGGAGATTATTACAGCCTCATATAAAATCAATAATGATGATGATATCAGAACTGGATTGGTATCGGTCGATATTCAGATTTAGGTATCGGGATCGGATCGGAAGTTTAAAAAAGTGGATCAGTGCATCCCTAGCATTTAGTAGTATTTTTAGTAGGTTTTTAGTATTTTAGTAGTATTTTTAGTTGGGGGGGGGTTGTGTATTTTTTGTGTTTTAGTAGAATTTTTTAGTATGTTTTTAGTATTTTTGCTGCATGCTTTAGTATTTGTTGTTGTTTTTGTTGTTGTTGTTGTTTTTGGCTAGTCAAGATGGTTCTTCTTGTCCTGAGCATTTCATTGCATTGGTGACCTTGTGTTGATTTTGCACATGACAAAAAACTGAACCTGAACCAGTTTCCTCAGATCCACTGTAAGACAGACCGCTACAAGAGATCCTTCCTGTCCACATCCATCAGCATCTTGAACAACTCTAGTGAAACCAGGATGATGAGTTGCAACATTTAATTTACCTCTGGGATTGATAAAGTACTTTTGAATTGAAATGAAATGAATTCATAGACAGGATGGCACGGTGGCGCAACTGGTAGAGCTGTTGCCTCTCAGCAAGCAGGTCGCCAGATCAAATCCTGGCTGGAGGTCCTTTCTGGGTGTTCTCTCCGTGCTGCATGGGTTTGCTCCAGGTACTCTGGTTTCCTCCCACAGACCAAAAACATGCATGTTAGATTGACTGATAACTCTAAATTGTCCCTAGGTGAGAGAGAATGGTTGTTTGTCTTTAAGTGTCCCTGTGATGATAGGGCAGAGGTAGGGCAGCCAGCTCAGGACCCAAAAGTCCCTGGTTCAATCCCCAATCATTCTCACATGTCATGGTGTCTCTGAGCAAGACGCCTAATCCCTAATTACTCCCCAGGTACTTGCATAGCTGCCCACTGCTCCACCTGGGTGTGTCCCAGGTGTGATGGGTTAAATGCAGAGAACTAATTTTTCCATTGTATGGAAACATACAATGATGACAACACATAGCACTTTATTATTATGGACTGCAGGCCTGTCCCTGTGATGGACTTGGGATATGTCCAGGGTGTAACAATTTTTACACAGTGACTGCTGGAGATGGGCAGCATCTGCTTGTCATGGATGGATGGAGAGAGGTGACTTGGTCATGTTGTACAGAAGAACAGACTCTTCATCATCAGACCATGTAAAGATGTTGAGTGTCTCAGGAACTAGCCAGAAAAAGAAGAAGTGGGTAAAGATGATGGATGGTCCAATCCACAATCTAAAGAATACATTTTCTGATCAACATCAAGTTTAACATTTAAACATGATTTTTCTGAACAGGTACAAGTAGAAACAATTTTTATTCAAGGAGCATCATGTTCAGGAACAAACGTTCTTCTTAAAGGTGAACCTGTCAAGAAAATAAAATACACAGCTAAAGTTTACTGAGCAGGTCACTCTGTGATGTCCACGGTTGAACTGGAGATCCTTTAGAGAATGTCCATCACAGAAAGACGGTCAGTGGTGCAGTCTGACAGATTACACCAGACTAAATAACCACATCCTCCAACTGGACAAGTTCTTACTCTGAGTCATGGGGGGTCACTGGTGTCCATGTCCAGCAGTCTTTGTACGAGTAGCAGGAAACACACTGGACAGGTCTTCAGTCCGTCACTGGGACACTTGGACAGGCCTCCAGTCCATCACAGGGACACTTGGACAGGTCTCCAGTCCATCACTGGGACACTTGGACAGGTCTCCAGTCCATCACAGGGACACTTGGACAGGTCTTCAGTTCATCAAAGGGACACTTGGACAGGCCTCCAGTCCACCACTGGGACATTTGGACAGGTCTCCAGTCCATCACTGAGACACTTGGACAGGTCTCCAGTCCATCACTGTGCCACTTGGACAG